TTTTTTTTTTTTTTCTTATTTATTGTTTAAATCTTGGTTTCTGAATAGTAAATACAAATTCCATGACAATAGATTTTGCAGTGCACATGTGGTTGCAAGCTCTAATCTTTATCATCTGTTTCTTTGTTTTTGTTATTGTTTACTAGATAATTTCATGTCTATAATATGATCTGATATTCGTATTTCGGTAATTCTTAATGTTTTGTCAAAATTTTTACGTCCCGTGCTTGAGTTTCTAAGTCATTGATGTACCATGCAGATCAAGAAATGCGTGAAAAGGATATGAAGATGTCCTTTAATACATACGAAAAGCTCTTACTGATATCAAAGGTTATTCATTTAACTCACTTGCACATTTGTTCGAATTTCATGTTTTATTAACTATTAGAAGTCTGTTGAGCCTATATGTCTGTTTTTGCACAGGTTGTTACGTATGTTTTGCTTGTTCTATGGTTCTGGAAGATGCCTGTGACCACAATATCGGATCAACTTGTGCAACCTTTTGGTAATATATGAGTTTTCTCCTTACATGTTTTATTACTATCAACTTCAAGTGTAGTGTAGATAAATTTGTATCGGTGAAAAGGGGCTTCGAATATATAGAATATTTATGTTTGCAGGAAAGTTGATATCTTGGAGAGCAGGAAGATCTTTGCAAGACGATCTTGCGGTAATGTAGCTGAAATCTGTGGGTCATTTTCTTAGCTTGATTTTCTGTTTGGATGTAGAATGAAATTGTCGTGCATATTCTTGTAGTCTGTGTTAAATTCCTCTGATATATGATCCTAGTCATGACATAGCACTTAAATAGAAAGCAANAAAAAAAAAAAAACACTTAGCTTTAAAAGTTATAGGTATTCTGATATTTGTTTTATTTTACAAAAGTACAATCAAGACTAGGTTCGTTTGCAGCCCTACTCAAGACTCAAGAGGGGCATTAAACTAATTATTTTAAAAGATGTGTTCTTTTCATTACTTTTGGGGACATTAAACTAATTATTTCACGAGTTCATTGGCGCGTGATCTGCCTGGACCGTGATTTTTACTAATGAGGTTTTGTAACCGTTCGTCATATGCCTCTCCAGGTAGGAATCATACCCTGGTTGATAGTATCCACCAGGGTTAGCAAATTCATCTGCAGGAAGGTTTTAGATTCGAAATGAAGCTTTAGCTAATTCATATGCTGGAAGGTTTTGATTTAAGTTGAAAGCTGAACAGAAACAAAGGAAGATATAGTTACCAGTCTTATGTTTCTGATCAGTTGAACTATTGAAGATCATCGTATTTATTTGATTTATTTGTACTATGTACACCGAGAATGTTGGATACTATACTATAGAAGTTTAGGCTACAATTTGTTTCAAGATAAATGATTAGTTTGCACAGCTTATATGCAAATGGTGTAATGGCACATTTTGTAGGTTAGTCTTGTGTGTTGTTCTTGTGGATGGTTATGCCATGGCTGATGTTTTGAACTTNTGAGAAGTGTTGTATTTGCAATATTTGTATTTCAAAGTTATTTTTTATTTAGAGTTAACTTTATGTTTTATTTTGGTTAAGAGTAAGTTTCCGAAAAATTGACTAAAATAAAAATGAAGTTTTTAATCTAAAATTTTGATACTTATAACAAATTGAACTATCACTTTATAATAGTTAATATAATTATTATTTTTGTCTTTGTATGCGTAATGTGATGTTAAATGAAAATTTGTCAAAATATTAAGTTGAGAAGTTATATAAATAAATTAAATAATAAATAAAATAAATTATTAAAATATATTTATAATTTAAGTTTTTTATAACCTTAATACTCCTAACAGCCATGGATTAAAGTATAAACCTACATAAATTATTGTGAAACAAAAAAAAAATATATATATATTTAAAATTTTGGAGCATTAAAAATTATGCTACATAAAAGAAACACCAAAATTTTGTGAATATAGAATTATAAAACATCACAAATTGTGAATCCACAATGAAGGAGGAATATTATTTTGTAAATATAAAATATCAAATAATAGCAATAATTCAAAGCCTCAACGGAGTAATGGAACGCAAAACAAGGGTCTACGTGGCACATAATGATTGGATCGAACCAAAACAATGCTGAAGCCTAGTTGACTTTAGTCAACCGCAAACATTACTATACCCCTCCCCTCCACAAACCCACTCATATCTCGACACCTCACGCCTTCAGATACCGTGTGGGCTCGTAACTGGCTTCCTTGTCGACCTTCCGTGCACCTCACCGCAGGCAAGTCCATCCTCTCCTTTTGTGCTTGCCTATATAATTGTCGAAAGGAATTGGAGAAGACGGAGAAGAACACACTAGAAAAGAGTACTCTGTTCCGTTGTTTCCATGGCGTACATCGAGAGAGGTAAAATTAGTTTGCTTTCAATAATTTCCTCACATTGTTAAGTTTATCCGAGTTGATTTTATTTCGATTTTCGAATGGCCCTTTTAGTTTTTGAAAATTTTCACCAATTTCTGAAGCTTCGGTAGCTATTTTTTCCCCAATAGTTTGGTGCAGAGAAATTTGTGTTGTTGATTGGAGAAATTACTGTTGTTTGTGTATGTCTTAATCGATTTGAATGTTCGAAGCTGTAGCAGGTTTGTATGGATTAGGAAAAATTGTTTGCATTAATAGGGTATTAGGGTTTGTCTTTGGGAACTGGGATTGGGAACCAAATCTGTGATATCAGTTCATGGTGGAGCTGAGCATCTAAAATCCTCGAAATCTGAAAACCGGTCGAGAGCCTTACTTTAAAGTTTTTATTTTTCAGGCTGAACTGAATTTGATGTTTGATACTGTTTAAGTTACATGTAAAACTAAACTAGGATGATGAAGACCTAAAAATAATAGACGAACATTGTATAACGCGCATTATACGTATCCATGTAAACATTGCTTGGTGATCACAAATAAGAGCTTGATATGATCCATATTAGCAACACATAATATGTTGAGGATTTATTGCTGCTGTTGATTTTTGTACCTGTTTGAGTACAGATTTTATGCTATTTGAGTACAGATTTTATGTATAAGTGATATTTTAATTTAATTTTTTTTTTAATTCGGTGAAAGTTATGCTACTGGGTAGCGAATGCTGAGCGGAAGTATCTGCATGATCTCTTTCACATAGTGTTTGAATTTGCGCAACTTATTTTTCCGATGGATAGAAGATTATAATCGTGCGCCTTTACCATTAAAGTCTATAGAAAACAGATCTTAAAGTTCACTGGTTGGCTTTTGCCTGTTAGACTCTTGGATTATATTTACCTTAACTGCATTGGTGGAGTAAACTAAATAGGACCAAAACTACTTAGTTCTGATGTATATTTTTCTGTGAAAACTGCATGATTGTTACTTACTATATCCCCTATTTGTATACACCTTCTCAGGGGTTGTCAAGTCTAAGAAATCATTTTGGCGAGTAAGCACATTCACGGAAGTCTTCTGGGCCGTTGTGAACTTCATAATGGATTTTTTCGGAACACTTTTTTCGGTAAAATATTTATTTTACTCATCCTTCTGCAGTTAGTTCTAGTCAAATCTTTAGTTCTATTATATTATTTATACTCGCTCATTTTTCCTTGGGTTCCTTTTTGCAGCTGGAGAAATCTGATGCTTACCGTAAAGGATTGGGCCGAAGCAAGAAGTGGGATGGTGGTTACCCGGGAGGAGGCCCAAATGGTGGCGGCCCACGAAGGGCACCAGGCAGAATGAACAATTTCCGGGAAATTGATCATGGTAAGTTGTTTATTCGTTGTAATTTACCATCATTGCAATAATCTTTTATCGAGCTTCGTTTTTTTTTTGTAATTTCTGGTTCTGTAACACTGTTACTTTCTGACTTGAAATATTTTTTTTCGACTTTTAATCTTTCAGATGCTCCTCCTGCATGTGGTTCGTGCTGCGGAGGCTGATAGCTTAACAGACTCCTCAAATTACTGCTTCTGGATTCATTTAGACATACAAAGTAGTAGTAAAAAAAAACGAATGTAAAGAAGATTTTATTCTACAACTTGACGTTGGTTTTTAGTACATGTACATTTTCGATGTCTATAAATGTTGCTTGAAATACTTTCTGGTTTGTGTTCTGCTGATGTTAGTATAGTATATGGCGAAACCATGTGATAATTCTGAAAATTTTCGATCAAGTATGCATTCCTTGCTAGAGGATGACCGGATTTAATCTTCTGGGTAGCTGAATTTAAAATTTTTCTATTCCAGAATAAGTTTTCCTTTTTATTTCATTATCTTTTTCCCTTTATTTAAGATACGAATATATTAGTATGACATTTGTTAGAGAAAAAAAAAAAAATAAAAGATTGCCCCTTTCCTTTTCTATCACTTTTTTTACTCCCATAAGTCTTGTATGATCCGTCAAAAACAATCTCATTACCATAGTTATACTGTTCAGTACTCGTGTAAGCCTAGAAGTCACTATTCCAAACAAATTTATGTACTTTCACACACAAATGTCATAGTTTATACAATATAAACAAAATTATAATATTTAATAGTATACTGCATTATAATATAAAAAAAAGTATGATTTTAATGGGTATGTACTTTTTGTAAGAAAGAACACACAAGGCAGNAAAAAAAAAAAAAAAAAAAAAAAATGAAATAAACAATATAAGACTTTCAATTTGTGTTGGCAAGTGGGATTACGAATTTGTGAGGGCTTGCTTTTTGTGTCATCCACATACCAAGCAATGGGAAGTATAAGGCTGTGTTTCACCATACCACGGTGAAGTAGAGTACGAGGATGTCATGCCGCATGAAATCAGGCCTTTCCCTGAACTTGTGGAACCGGGAAAAATATAAGACTAATATAAAGACCGTGTTTATTCAAGCTCAACAAACTTCCAGTGTTGTTAATTATATGAGTATTATTTGGTTTTAGTCATCCATATAACATATTGCAGTAAAATATGTTTGCTACAGTCCAAATTTCTAAACATGGCAAGATTGTTATTATTCCCCAGTTTTAAATATACATCACCATCATAATAATTATTAAGCGTGTGCCATTAAAATTATATTATATAAGTATATTTGAAATTTTCAATTATTTTATGAAAACAATAAATAAATATATAATAAAGATAGTAGTTTTAAATATTAAAAAATTGAATGACACATCAACATCTCAATTATATATTTTTTTATTTTCCCCACAAAATTTCCAGGTTATTATCCGTAAAATGAATCACCATTAATATTTTTTTGTACTAACATTAATGTGTTCTTTAATAATGTAAAATAAATTAGCACTAATATTTTTTTTAGTTTCACGTCATGTGTTCTTTAATAATGTAAAATAAATTAGCACTAATATTTTTTTAGTCAGACGTGAAAATATGTATAATGCATATTGTTAAATCAAATTTTTCCAATAAAAATCGTTGAATTATGACCATGTTAAATAGTTAATATGTATAATGCACAATATCTACATATATACAATCAAGGGTAAGATCAATTTAATATTAAAGTTACGATAACTTATCTAGTTTTTCATAATTACTCATTCTGTCTAAAATATGTAAATAATCTAGGAAACTCGTCGAAAAAACTTTTTAATTTTAATGCACTACTCTGTTTTAGTAAAAAAAATTCTAGACAAGAATTTGCAACATTAGAGCAATCACAATGTTTTTCCTTTGGGTCAAAAGAATTACATGCCACATAAAAAAATAAACTCAATTTACAAGATGTTCTCCTAAGTGAAAAGGGAGAGTGGACGTAGTGCTGATGATAATAACAAAAAAAAAAAAAATAAAAAAAAATAATAATAATAATAATAAGTTTACCCTTAGCTAAAGCTGTTAAATGAAACAAGCCGCTCGCGAGCTCGGCTCAGCTCATAATATCAAATGAGTCGAGCTTGAAATTATTTAAAATTTGGTTCACGATCCGAGCTCGATTTGACTCACGATACTTGAAAAGGTGATTATTTGTATAAATGTGTATAGTTTGGCTCATTAATATTGCTAAAAGAGTCGAACTCGAGTTAAAGGCTCGAGCCCGAGCAGCATGAACTCGAGCTCGACGACACCTCTATCCTTAAGTTTATCTTAGATCCAAAAATATAGACGTATTGGAATGAATTTAATTACTTTTATTTAATTCTATTCATATATTTCATTTATATGACACAAAAAAATAATACAAAAACGTTGTGATTGTTCTGATACAATATTACATATTAAAACCAAAATTATTGGTTGTTTATTTGGAACACGGAAAATAGGATAAAAAATAATGAAAATAAAATAACTCTGCCAACTTTGTTTCTGTTCAATCTCCTACAGTTTTTCTCTTNGTCAAATTTCTAAGGAAATTAGATTTTCAAATTGAGTGGAAGGCTATACTAGAAATAGACAAGAAATGTAAAATTAATATTGTTCATAAATCAAAAGTTCGAGCATGAGAAAATTAACTGAACTCGTCTCATTACTAATTTAGGGCATTATTTAGATTCCAAACAATACCCAGTTACAGTTACAAAAACCACAACTATTGTTATTTGTAGTGTACAACAGTGTATTTGTGGCAAAAATTGAAGAAACTAACAGAGTATATCAAAGTTCCCAACACAAACGATATAAGAAAAAACATAATCTCGATTCAATGTAACTTTATTCAAAAAAATTAACTAATTTTAACCAATAAATTCAAACAAAACTAATTTTATTTATATCCAATCGCCCCTTAAACAATTAGGTATGCCTCTAATTGTATCCCTTTATCAATATAGGAACAGAGTATATCAAAGTTCCCAACACAAATGATACAAAAAACGTAATCGTCGCATAAGCATATGCCCTCCACGGACAATCACTCTCTCTCATCGCATGAAACTCGGCAACAAAAGTTGAAACCGAACTCAGACAACCGAGCAACCCTAACTGAATACCAGATGCCACCGTATCGCAATTCTTCGTCTTAACCTATACAACAAAACAACTTACTATAAGTGGTAAAGAAAAAAAAAAAGAGTTCTTTTTCTTGTCTTTTTTTTTTATCCTTAATTTCATATGATTAGTCGAAACCAAAAGAGTAAGGGTGTTCTTGAATACAAATATATTCGTTCAACATGAGTTTCTTTTGTTCACCATTGTTAATTTTGAAAAATGTGGTATGGTTAGTTGTTAATGGGATTTTGAATTTATATTAAAATAATATTTAAAATAAAGTAATTAAAGTTGATTTGATGTAAAAGTAAGAGAGAGATGATGTGAAGTGATGATTAATTAATATTATATGAGTGGATGAATAGTGAATTAAAATTGATATAATGTGTAAAAATTATTTATTGATATTATTTAACTATATTGATAATATTGAGGGTAGTGAGATTGAATTAAAGTTGAGTTAGATTTTGAATATGAATTGAAATAATTTATAAACAAACACTCCCTAACTTTTTGTCGGTGAACATGTTATGTAAGAACACGATTCTTCTTACCGCTTTCTTAAGATTCGCGAGAGCAGCCATTGCGCAAGCCGCAATAACATTTGCAGCAAGAGTCCCGAACGGCATCCATTTTGCCATGCCATTTTTACCCAAGCCACGCCCGTTAAAACGGGCCAAGAACCACCTGGCCCACACGCCAAAAGGGCCCACCAAGCAGCCCAAGAACAGCTGGGCCCTATTGCCACCTTCTTCAAATTCTTTCGCTGCTAAGGTTCCGAACAAACCCCACAACATTACCAGCATCAGTAAAAGAATCACCATGAATGTCACCAAAAAACGAGACTCGTTCGAAGTATATGGATTGAGGCACGTTTTTGTGCTGTAAAACAATCTTATATATGATTTTGTAAGAAGCCACTTGAACCCTTTTGCAGTCTCGATACCGAAAATTATCGAATACGCGACTAGGAACAAACCTGGCAAGAAATATGTGGGGGAAGTAAATGATTTTACATAAAAATGAATTTGATTTATTAATTTGAAATTTATAATTACCTAATAAAATGCCGAGCACGGAAAATACCCAACGGCCCTCAACACTAAGGTCAAGCATCTTTTGATTCCAACCGCTGAAAGTCGTTAGGCTTCCCAGAAAACCTGTTGTCAGCCCAATTGCTAATTGGTCCAAAATTCGCAAAATGTCCGGTTTAAAAACAACGCCTAACCAACCCATCAGAAAAGAACCAACCTGAAATGAAAGAAAAAAAAAAAAAGGATCTACTATTAAAATATCAATATATTTAGAATAGGTCATGTAAATTCGAAGCAGCTAATATAACTTATGTGTACCACATAAAATAAAAAGGCAGCATCTTTTACTGAGTTAATGCAATGTTTTTCCTAGTTCAATTAACATTTCAGAAATGTTACTATGCAGAGAGAGAGAGAGAGAGAGAGAGGGAGAGAGACCATATTCGAAGGAAGATCAAGATACATGTAGCTATGGTCACTTGTAGCACCAACTACATTGGGTCCAAAGAGATTCTCAAGGCTATATCGAGCTAGGACCTGCCCGATAATAACATTAGCGCAAAATTAAAAAAATAAAAAATAAAAAAGGAATAAAATATTTCCCATATTTTCTCAATCTCTTTGCATAAACCAACTATGGCTCAAATCAAAACAACGTAGACTTCGAAAGAATCCAAAACAGAAAACATCATCAGAAAGTTTTTTAGCAGCTTACCCCTAAAATTCCAAACACGGCAAGTGAAAGGAGGCATGTAATGTATTTCAAAAACCAATGCACTTCTTCCTCCTGCAAATCTATCACAAGATATACAAGAATGGTGTTTGGAAAAAAAAAAAATACTTCTACTTTTAGAAGAAATTAGTTATGTAGTAAAATTTAAAATGTAACAAGTTGTAAAAGCGCTTATCCATCTACATTATTTTCCACTATAACACATAAACATTGGAAAAAAAAATCAGAATACCAACACTAACATTCTTTTTCCCCTAAAGATTGAGCAACTTCATCAACCGAAACAGGATTTGCATTTTCGAAAATCGGGAGAGAGTTACTGATTCTGTTACTGTGAAGGGCTCGGTCCCCAATGTCCCCTGCTTCGGACACAGATTCGTTCTCAAATGCGTCGTCTGTTAAAAGGGAGATTCTTCTAGAAGAATTTCCTCTGCTTAATCGGCGAAAAGAGCTACTTTTTTGGCATTCTAGTACTTGATTCTCGCTCTCCATTGCCTTTTCTAACAGGATTTTGGGAGTTAAACTGAAAATTAAGGTGAGATAACAAAATAAACAAAAAAAAAAGAAGAAAAAACTGTTTTTGAATGGAGCTGATATTGAACTATTACATAATACATAAAGCCACAAATGACAGAAAACAAAACATATATAAACGTCACAGATGAAGAAAACAAGACGAATCTTGATAAAACCTGTAATTGGGGGGAACGGCCAATTAGTCCAAAGGAAAATCCAAATAAAGTAGATATAGGCACATGATACCTCTATATAATAAAAAAATCATGATTTAACGATAAACCAGATTGCAATAATGCAAAATTGGCCTAAACACATGAGATTAAGCTATATCTTATCAGAAACTATGGCATATACAGAAACTGCACAGTCCTACTTAAGCATACGAAAATGAATTTACATAATTAAAAAAACTAGAAAGCACAATATTTAACAAATATGGACCCCAACTGTTTTGCTTTGTGCCCTTGCGTGATAGACTTTTGAAGAAGGAAAGCAAAGAAAAGGAAAATCCGAAAACAATCACTCCACACAAACACCAAATCAAAATCAAGAAAGCCTAATGTGAAACATGCCTCAGGATTAATAGACAATTAATGACCAATCACCTCAAAAGGGGTCTCCCTTTAATCACATCAAAACCGCATACTTTTTTTTTTTTTTCCTACNTTTTCGCTTGTATTAGCTATAAAACGGACAGCATTGTAATTTTCACTCGTACGATTTTGTCTATGCTGTCACGTGAAAAGGGTTCTAGCCAGAAACTACGATGAAAAAGATGAACATAGGAAGATTCTCTGTCAAAACAGAAGAAAAAAAACGATTAAGAAAAACCCAATGGACGAGCCCGTCTAGAGAAAGTCAGGCAGAGGGGCTCGAGGGTTTTGATTCACGTTTGGGATTAGGGATTTTGAAGCTGGTGTTTTATATATTGGTGAGAAAAAAATGTGCATTGAGATGGACAAGAATCTACGAGGCAGCCATTTTAATAGAGCTCTGTAGCATTTACCAATGGACAATAATGTTTGGCATGTAAACAAGGTCAAGGCTTGCCGAGTTAGGGCTTTGAGTTTAAGCTCGTTTTATCAATATTAACGAGTCGAAGTGAACTTAAATTGTCAAATTGATGTAAAAATTCAAAAAACTACTTAAAATCCCATATTCTCGAGACTTGACGAGCCGAATTTATTAATCTAAATGAGTTCGAGTTCGAACTCATTTATCAAACCGAGCTAGAGCTTCTGATACTTGAGCTCGAGCTCGTTTTTCAATAAACAAACAAAAGTTGAACTTAAACGAGTCAAACTAATGTAAAACTTAAAAAAATACGTAAGATACCAAATTTCTCGAGATTTGACGAGTCGAGCTTGTTAATCTTAAAGAGCTCAAGTTTGGGCTCGTTTATCAAAAATTGATGCCAAGCTAGGGCACCAGATACTTGAGTTCGAACTCGTTTATCAATATTAAAGAGTTCAAAGAGAACTTAAACAAGTTAAACTAATTCAAGAAATTACGTAATACCCCATGTTCACGAGACTTGACGAGCTGGTCTTGTTAAAACGAGTTCGGGATCGTTTGTTAAAACTTGATGTCGAGCTAGGGCTTCTGATACTTGAACTCAAGCTTGTTAAGGAGCATGAACGAGCTGAAGCTAAACTTAAACAAGTCAAACTAATGTAAAAAATTTAAAAAATTACGTAAAACCTCATATTTTCGAGACTTGAAGAGTCGAGCTCGTTAATCTAAACGAGCTCGAGCTCGCGCCCATTTATCAAAACTTGATGCCAAGCTAGGGCTTCTAATGCTTGAACTCAAGCTCTTTTATCAATATTAAGGAGTCGAAGCCAAACTTAAACAAGTTAAAATAATGTAAAATAGTTAGAAAAAACTACGTAAAAATCTATATTCTCGAGGCTTGACGAGTTCGAGCTCAGGTCTATTTATCAAAACTTGATATAGGCTGCTCTGTTTCATGGACCGACATCTCCAACAGAGGCCTGGCCCAATAATCAGTTTCTTAGGCCTCTATAGTACACGAGGAGGGTCAAGATTGGGCTGGATTTTAGGGTCCAAGTTCTCAAGGTGGGCTCCAATTGAACTAAAGAGTCCTAAATGCTGATTAAGTGATTATGGACTCAAGGCCTTGTGCACTTACATTCTTGTCATGGAGAGAAGCTACGTAATCTTAAAAAATTAACATAAAATATTTTTTCGAGAAATATTTGCATTAATACAAATTATTTGGATTGCTCACTTTCAATTCCACACGAAATGTGGAATAAGGCAGTAGTAATACTTTCAATTCCACACGACACACACACACACGAAAATATTTTTCCTAGAAGTGTTACTACTACTACTACTACCTCATTCAACTCCAATTTATAAGTGTCACCTGCTTATGATTAATTGATAACCAATTGGTGTAATTAAGAATTAATACATGTTAACAATAGAATTTGCAATGATAATCCGTGGTCAAAATTCCAACATCCTGAGTACATAATTCCATGATATTTCCACGAAATCCATGTTTTCTGATTTTTCCATTGCAAAAGAATTAAAATTTAACCTTTAACCATGTGGTGGACCAGTTTGGCTTATTTTGACTGTTTCAAGATCATGTGCTTTATCATGCTCATAATTAAATTCATTTTAAGAAGTATGATATTCCACGATAAGGATATACAATACTATTGCCAGAAAATATAAGCCACGGGTCAGTAATAAATTGCTTCACTTCACAAACTTCAACTAGTTAGAGACCGGTGTAATTAAAGATATAAATTATTTTGGCATAAGTTGTTTCAATCAATAAATTTAAAAAAAAAAGGTACAAAATGTTTTTTTTAATTCATAAATTACTATGAGATAATATTTAATTATCAAAGTTGATATGATATAAAAATAATAAAGCAATGAATGTAAATAATTGATAACTAAAATGAGGCAGTTCTTGTGTTAGGCCGGCTTTACTAATAAGCCAGTACAAACTTTTTACATGTATGTATATTTTCATTACAAAATCTTACACTTTTAAAAACATCATAGATAGAAGTATAAGAAAGTATGAAATTAAATAGTACTATTGAGTGTGACGGTCGATCCACGCATAATAATTAAGCTGTCTCATTCAAGAATTAGCGTTAAAAAATACGGTAGATGAATACTAATTACATTATGTTAAAAAATACATATAAATGATTTATTTGTATTTTCTAACTGTGTTGATAAGATAAAAAGAAAAAGGAATAGATGAATAGTAATATTTAAAAAAAAAAAACAAAATTATATCCAATTACAATTGGAATTAAAAGAAATATTCGATGATACAAGATAGGATTAATTTAATTTATGTCCAATTGTTAAGTGATTTGTCGTTGCATGAACTAATTAGTCTCGTTTAATCCAAGTTTGAAAGCGTGTCTGCTAAAAAATAAGGACACTTCTAATTAACATTTGCCCCACGGGACAATTGACTTTTACCAACTGTTGACAAAATTTATTCTTCTCTATAAATACACCCCTTAATTAAATTCTGCAAGCAAATTAAAGAAACCCAAAATACCGATACACCTCTTGGAAAACACATTTTATTTTATTTTTTTTGGTTGGTTGTGACAAAAAAATATATACCGAATACCGATACATTTTGCTTACTTAAATTCGAAAAAATGGCAAGCTCAATTATGATTGGCTACAAATCTTCTGGTCTTTACATGAAGCCGCCATATCCAAGTTCGAACTCCATTTCAAGATTGTCTAGTTCATTAATGTGGAAAAGTGATCAAATGGGTTTTTTGAGAAAGAAAATGCAAAGCCATTGCAAAATCAAGAGGTAAGTATGGATATATGTAGTTTTTTTTTGTTTTTTGTTTTTATTTTTTTTTTATTCTTTTTCCCTTTGTGGCACATATACTTTTGCTAATTCTTGAATAAAGAAAGAACAAGACATGAAATCCAGGTGAGCAACGGTTTGGTTAGGTATAAAATAGCTCGAAAAAACTCATAAAAACGAAATCGTGTTAATTTAAATCAAATCGCACCGCAACACAAAGACAAGAAACTGAAATCGAACCAAAATTTTCATTTTAAAACGCACCGATTAGAACGATTTGGCTCGATTTTTTTTTTTTTATTTTTCTATGTATTTGGGTAACTTAATTTGTGATTGTGAAGAAAATAATCGCATCACACTGCAATACATAAAAGATTAACGAGCTGAATTGCATGGCTCGGCTCGATTTTACATCTTCTACAGTGCACGAATGTTTTGCTGAATTATTTTTATTTTATTTTTTCCTTTGATTTAGGGATTCTTTTGCTGTATATGCTAACAATGTGCCAGGAGCTCCATTGCCTTCAGGGCCACCACCTAATTCTCACCCAAAGTAAGTAAAAAGTAAAAATAATAATAATAATAATAATAATAATAATAATAATAATAATGATAATAATAATAATAATAATAATAATAATAATAATAATAATAATAATCCAAAACCTTTTTTTGGTCCCTAAAATTGCCTCTAATATATTTCTATATTTGGTGATATGAAATTAATCTAACAAATTGTCATGCAAACAGAAGTTGGATTATTGGACTTGTTCTATCACTTGTGCTACCTTTTTTCACCCACAAATGGGGTCCATTATGGGTAGTCAAAAGTAAGTTAATTAATCTAAATTAAAATTCATTTTTTTTTAAATAAACCATATTAATTTGCAATATTTATGCCTTAATAATTCTTTAATTTACGTGTAATTAATTTTTGCTAGGTAGGATCGATAGCGCGGTTCAAACGGTGGAGGACATAGTCGAGGCCGTGGAAAAAGTAGCCGAGAAGGTCGATGAGATTGCAGAAGATATAGCCGACGAACTTCCAGATGGAAAATTAAAAGATTTTGTGGAATTAATTGAAAATGTGGCTGAAAAAACAGCTAAAACAGCTGATTGCATAGATAATGTCATTGATAAGGTACATTTTGCTTGCTAATTATTAGTATTAGTATTATTATTAAGTTAATTAATTAATTAGATAGGTCAGCTAATGACTATTTATAAGTACTAATAAAATCATCAAGTTGGTCATGTGTCACATGTGCTTTCCAAGAAATTTAAGGGGAAAAAAAAAATCAACTATGTACAGCAATGACTTATCAAACATGCATGATTGCATTTTATTTTTATTTTTTATTTCTAAAAAAAAACAGGTAATAAATATACATGTTAGTTTGTAAATATACATATTTCAGATGAAGAAAAATATATACCACATATGTATACCTGGGTTATATCTACAATTTGTACTATTATTATTATTATTATTATTATGGATTTTCCATTAAAGGATAAATTATTGAAGTGCAATTAAATTTGGTGCAGGCTCAGGAAGCTGAAGATGGGGTAGAGGAGATGATAGCTGAATCTCTAGCCAAAAAGCCCAAAAGTTCGGCAAAGCAATAACGAAAGTTAAAGTAGTCGTGACAAATTAATTAACACAGTACTGTACATAATCATTTTTTATTTTTATTTTTTTTCACTTCATTCTTTTAGGAAAATTGTGTATTGGATTAAGTTAGTTCACAATAATTGTTTGGCGTTTTAACTTGTATATTGGTTGCTTCTTGACAGAAATAAATTGATTAGATGAAAATTAATAGTATATATAGATATATATATATATATATATATATATGTATAATGACAGGTTGATTAATTAGCAACGTCCAATATTTTGGTTATATTTATATAGCAAATTAATTAGCTAATTATTTAACACATACGTCTACATAATCATTTAGACCGAGCTTACAATTCAATTCGATGTTCGACAAACCCAAAACTTAATTTAAAAGATTGTCATAATTAATTCACTACAACTAATTATTTTTAACTATCAACATCAAGAATCCCCCATTTAAACTTATTTTATGGTTTCCATTTGGATTACTTTATGTAAGAATTCAACGTATTTATAAAATTATCATTTAGGTCGAGCCACATTTTTGTTATAAACATATCTCAAACTATAATAAACAGAATCGAACGATGCTAATTCCTTGTTGGGAATAATTACTTTATAGATAATTTCAACATGGTTATAATTTAATTAGTATGGTTCAATACTCAATTATTCATGATTATGCACCTACATTCTAAATCCCGATAAGATTACCACGTTATTATTAAAGTTAATGTTAAGCGAGTACTGCCATCATATGGAAAAATAAAAATAAAATTATACTGTAAAATGCATACGTTTGTTTCAAGAAATTAAATAACGATCAATTTAATCTTTTGGTGCAAATTGCTTAGTCAACAATGCATATATTGTATAAATCCACTTTCATTAATTTGTTAAAACAGCGTTGTATCATACTTACACAACTTGAACATCTATTATAGTTTTCGTCATATCTTAAAATGCAAAAAAATCACAAAACAAAATATTTCATTTTACTAACCTTACAAATTAGACATTACTCAAACGCTCACTATAGTACCATTGAATTATTATACAACACCCGATTTGAAAATTTCGAAAAAAGCCAGCAACCCAAACCCATTGCCCCAAACATGATCTGACCCGTCTTACCTATGAAATCCCTCATTGGATGTCGACCACAAGCGAGCCGCCAATAACAGTACTCGACTTGCTCAAGTATCAATTGCATCACATTTTCCGGTGCCACCTCCATTGCCGGATATTTTACGTAACGCCTTTCGATTAGTTTCAATCGCTCGATGGCCGGAAAATGGAGACGGGCTTTGCTCAAGAAGCCGAGGATCCATTGCATACATACTTATTTGTGTTATGAAATGTTATTACGAAGCGTCATACTTTTGTTTACGTTTAGAGTATGATTTAAAAAGTATAATTGTCTTCCTAACAGTGAACTGTCATACTTTTGTTTACATTGTATTTTAGAGTATGATTGTCTGCCTAACAGTGAAGCGTCATACTTTTATTTACGTTGTATTTTAGAGTATGGTTGAAAAAGAAAGATTGTCTGTTTAACATAATTGTGATAGTAAACTTTCATTACACATCAAGTTGAGGGGCATCTTTTTCTTGACCTCATCCGTGTACGACGATTCAAGAACAGAGAAGCTATTCACGTGTGCCTCCTCCAAACGAGGAAAATCAGTTTTAGAGCACACCAACAAGACGTACCCTTCTTACCTAAATGTAGTTAATTAACCTTGGAGTCGAACTCCTCTCGACCCTTTTCTCGTACGAGAAGAATGGGTCAAGGAACGATATTTCCATAACCCTGAGGCTCGGCGACCGAATGGTCAAACTCGAGACCTCACAGTTGTACAAAGTCAACTCCTCCGAACTGTCGAATCCTGAAAAGGGCTCCTTCGAAAAAGTGTAGGGATCTTTCCCGCCGAGCCGAGATGAAGAGTCTTGAGATTCGGCAAGACGAAGGGTTTTGGAACAACGATGCTATTCGTGTATTGTTTGACTTTTAGGGAACGTAAACTTTTGCTAGCCAAAAAATGACGTTGGGAAACTCGATCGAGAGGCACCAAGTGGCGTGACCGATGCAGTTTAATTCGAACAAATTTCGAGCTCGTGGGCATACAGTTGGAGGTTAGTCAGAATTTCTTGATGGTCGAGGAATTGTGCCTTTGAAAAAGGTATCGGGTGACGAGTCGGGTAAAATGGGACATGAATTGTGGGTTGTGAGTCATCCACGGGACATCCATCGAGATTTGCTTGAGGATGAGAAGGAAGTCGAAGTCGAGATCGGGTAAAGACAAAGCCAGTCTCTGCCACTGTTTAGACAAGACAATTGTCGAAACGGTGAATGAGGAGAAGGCGATTGCCATTCACTTTCCTTTAGGTTTCCTTATGAAGATCATCGCTTGGAATGTTCACTTTTATGAAATAGAAAAAAAAATGTGAAGATTTGATGAAGGATATCATTTTGTAGTTTGCTTATCATGTCTTCTTCTATGGTTTTTTCCTCTCTTTTTTTAGCTTTTTCCACATTACATTGATGCTATTGATTGTACTTTTTAGTTTTTTCCACATTTTCATGATGATGTTGATTGTTGATTGTGTAGTAAATGAACAAAATGTTGACATTGAAATTGGAATAGTTTAAATGAACAAAAAAGTTGACTTGGACTTGGTCTTGGTCAAGGTAAGGGTAACGTGTCTTGAATCTTGATAAAACTTTAAAATGATTAAGGGAAATATCTAGTCAACTCGTGATCAAGCTAATAGTCGTAATTAATTCTCTTAACTATCTGCTAATCGTGGCAAGCAAGTAAGCAACACAATACATCATTGTTATAATCTGCTAATGGTAATGGTAAATGCAGTTTCTTTGAAACTGTTCAACTTCCATGGTACAAATGGGCCGATGAAGATGAGGTAAGGTACAGCGCGTTTACCTAATTACTAAAATTATGAGCTTGTGCCTTGGACACAGGTTAAGCCCATGAACTAGATTAACTTATCAGGTGGGCTTGGGCTCTGCAGTTAGTGACCTGTACTGTTGCCTGTTGGGTGCTGCCTTCAATGTGGCGCTTGAAATAACAAGTTATTGCATTTTAATAAAAAATATATGGTCTTTCATAAAAATATGTGTCGTGTTTTATTTGTAAACTTAATTAAATTTATTGTAATTATTCAATTTTTTTTCCCAGCTTTATTGATATATTGAATTGAGAATTAGGTGATTCACGCGCATGAAATGGACTACTGAGGACTACAAAGTACACAGAAAAGGAACAATAATTTTGGGCCATGTTACATCTACTTCTTAAGGGGGTCCTGATAATTGTGAACTTCAATATAATAATAGAACTTCGTAAGGATTCGTGATATCGACAGTTCTATGAACTTTCAGATTAATCAAGTTGGCCGGGCCAAGCTCGATTTTGAAAGGATTCATTGTGGAATGGATTGGATCCAATCTTTTCAATTTGGGCCATGAAATATGAACTGTCTCAATCCATGAAAAAAGTAGGATTCAAGAGTGGACTAGGCGTGCTTGGATACAAAATTTCTCAAAAAAATTCAAACATTTTTAACTCAGTCATTTTTTTAAACTCATCTTTAACTCAATCTACTACTATCTTCAATATTATCAATATAATTAAATAATATCAATCAATCATTTTTACACACCACCTTACCTTAATTCATTATTCATCCACTCACATAATTTTAACTAATCATCACTTCAAATCTTATCTCTCTTACTTTACATCAAATCAACTTTAATCATTTTATTTTAAATATTATTCTAATATACCCACTAACAACTAACCATACCAACTTTTTCAAAATTAACCAAACCAAAAAGAAAAAAAAATCCAAACAAAATCAAAATTTTTTATATCCAATAAGTGTGCAGGGAGTGTAAGAGTGCGAATTTATGTAACAACTCTAAATATAAAGCGAAAGCGATTGAAATAAAATTGTCTCTAGAAAGCATCCCATTTTCCTCACAACTTTTTTCACTAGTAATAAATAAAATTGTCTTTAAAAAGCATCTCACTTCCCTCACAACTTTTTTTATTAATAAATGGTCACGCGCACGTAGTGTAGTATATAATTACAAGACTGAAACCCTCTTTTAATCTTACTATCCATGCATTCCACTTCTTTAGTTACTTTTATGGCCAACACGTGAACTTAAAAACCTATAATAAATCCCTCCAGAGGCACATGAACACTTCTCCCAAAGTGTCGCGAGGAAAAAACCAAAAGATTAAAGTGTTTAACTTTCACCCCGTAAGAACACGAACTGATAATTCGACTAAATCTATGAAATACAATGAAATATGGGCTCTCAAAACTCTCAGAATTGTCAGAAAAATACGAGCTCTCATTCTAAAAGTATTACATTACAATGTTGAAGTCTTCTGAATATATATGCACCCTCCTTTGATAGTAACATTTCAGAATCTTCATTGTTGATAAGTTTCTTTAACTGCTGAGTCAAAAGGTTCGAAATCACGTAAAAACACAACTTTTCTTAATTGTGAGATTCGATTGATCTTGTTCCAGATGGTTCGTATCTAGGTTATTCTCCTTCTATACGTGTTCAACCCGCGTCCATATCCTTTCCATGCATGTTCCTACACTAAATAAAGAAATAAATCTAGATTAAATCTAACTCCATAATAAACAATTAAAACCCACGAAAACTTATAAAATTTGACTTAACTTGAATATATGTATGATATATAGAATGAAAATATGTATGATATATATGCATATATGTGTGTACAAAATTACAAATGCTAGTAGACAAATACAAACTTCCCTAAAATGACCACTTACACCAAACTCAAACTCATGTCTCAACTCACTTGTCCTTGTAAAGAAAAAGTATATCCCCACTACTTGACATCAAAATGCCCATTAGGTCTCTCACATCATGTGATATTTTTGACTCCCCATTATGTGACCTTTGTGTGCATCATGTGTAAAGAGTCTAAAGACTAAAGAAGAAGAAGAAAAAAGACTGACACAAAAGAGGCCAAAAAGCCCCCATGTGTTTATTTATCCTCACTCTCCTTATATCAAGATTTGGTATTCCCATTCACATGCAGTGGATTATTTTATTATATATTCATTAATTAATGTAATTTAATATTCTTACCTATTACATTAACAATATTTCTTGATGTAATGGACTT